AACCGAACATAACCGACCGAATTTTTTAAAATTTCTAACCGAACCGAACGTAACCGACCGAATTCTCTAAAAATCTCCAACCGAACCGATTTCGGTTACGGTCGGTCGGTTCGGTTCGGTTAAAAACCGAACCGGTCCCATCTCTGGTAGATGTAATGCATAAAGGACTGTCTGTTTCTATTTTAATTTTTTATTTTATTTCGTTTGGTTTCAAATTATTTGACGGCATGCATTTTATAAGCAGTAAGTAGAAATTATTTATTTTATTTTAATTTTTTATTTCAGTCTATTTTTTTTTATGCTATTTATATTATTACATTTTATTTTTATTTTTATTTTATTGTACTTTATTTTATTTTTATTAGTGTAATTTATTTTATTTCATCTTATTTATTTAATTCTTATTTTAATTTGATTTAGTTTTAATTTTAATTTTTTTGTATTTTATTGCAATTTTTTTTTATTTTCATTTTATATTGCATTAAATAAAAGTTGAAAATAAACTAGATTTGAACTATTAATATGCAGCTCAATGCAGTTGAGGGAGGAAGTAAGGGAGGGGATCAAACGATATCTAATGTTCAGATCTAAATCCAACAGATTTGCATAGGATTCCGGGAGTATCCGACATTTTCCAACTATCGGATTTGATTGTCGGAAACCGTCGGATCCGACATCCGACTGGATTCCGCTACCAAGGATTCCGACAGGGATCCTGTCGGAATTTATCGGATTAAGCCAGATTTCCGACAGGATCTGGAACCCAGAATATTCGTCCTGGGTACTCATCGTTGATGCGTTATCGATAGATTTTCCTTCACTTGATTAAAAGCGATTCTATTATTACATGAAATATATTGACGATTAGCCTTTTTTCTCTGCTTTCATCCATATATGATCGAATGTTTTTACATCTCTCTAAAAATGAACTTGTTATTTTTAATTGATTAATACTGTAATAGATAATACTCACGATGGAGCATTCCCAAGTGTCACATCGCTTTTGAGTCGATACTATAAGCATCATGTAGACCCTAATGGTCTATGAATAACCTAAAAAAAGTTCGTGCCACTAGCTTATTGGTGTCGAGATATTGCATTTTTAGTTATTTTTAAGCAGAATGCCGTGGTCCCCTCAAGGACATCAAGAAAACTGAGTTTTGAGTTTTCACTTGAAACTTTGCGCACAATCAGGCCTTAATGAGAATAGTTTATAGTAAAAGTTTCAGAGCTTTTGGATGTTCATATCCTAAGATACGGCTATTATAAAATCGCTCCTATACATGGGCAGATTCGACGTTCTTGTTTCAGGATAAAACCAAAACAAAAGATCTGAAACTTTTACAATAAACTATTCCCATCAAGATCTATCTCTTTGCAAAGTTCTAAATTGAAATTCGAAAATTAGGTTTTCTGATGTTCCTGAGGGGACCACAGCTTTCATTTTTTAAGAATACCGTAAAAATGCAATATCTCGGCACCAATAAGCTAGCAGCACGAACTTTTTTCAGGGTGTTCATAGATCACTAGGACCTACATGATGCTCATACTCTCGACTCAAAAGCGATGTGACACTTGGGAATGTTCCCTCGTCAGTACAATATTTTTTTGATGATGAATGAAACGAACAGATCGTGCACCTTTGTTCCAATAATATGAAGTTGAGATATATTCAGTTGTTAAGCCAAAAGTCGATGTCATAATTGAATGCATATACATTTAAAATGAAGAAAATCGTACTGCTCTATGGTGAATATATAGTATGTCTCTGAAAGATTTATCCTCAGAAAAATGAATTTAGCAACTGCTTTTGATCACTAGAAAAATGTTTTAAAAAGTTATTAATTTTGTGCAAGTTTTTTTGAATATTGCTGTATATAACTATTTAAATGAATATTAATTAATGACAATATTAATTCTAATACGACATCTCTAATGAAATTTTTTTTTTCAAAACAAGGTTGCTCTCTTATTGATAATTTTCATTGTATTTTATTAATCATTTTATTAAATAACAATACGAATAGTTTTACCAGATTTTGGTTTTAAACTTATAAGGTAAAACAAAAATTTTCTGTTGAAAATCAAACGGAGCATCATAAAAATGTTATTCAGACAATTAGTTCTGCATTTGGATGAGATGTTCCGAATTCCTTTTGAATTAATTGAATCTCTTCACTAGAAAACAAGTTATTTGTGATATTGAGTTCTTCAAGATGAGGTAAATCAAGTATATGTCTTGGAAAATAAGATAATTGATTGTTCGATAAATCAAGATGTGTAAGTTTCTGTAATTTACCAATAGCAGGAGAAATGGATGTAAGATTTGTATTGCTTAAAGAAAGACCTTCCAAATTGATGTACGAAGTAATTGATTCAATGTTTTCCAATGGATTGTTTCCCATATCTACGTGCGTAACATTTTCTCTTTTCTTTATTATGGGTAATTTTTTGAAACGATTGCCTCTAAGATTTATCAATAAGACACTAGGAATTTCATCTATTTCAGACAATCGATTTCCAAAAAGATCAATATTCCATAATCGTTCAAGTTTACTAAACTTTGGCAAATGAGTTAATGAGCAATTACGAAAAACTATCGCTAAAAGATTAGTAAGTGTTTCCAATTGCTCTGACATTTTAAAAATAGGTGAATTATAAATCCAAAAATTACGAAGTAGTTTTAAATTTGCCAAAGTATCTGGTACAATACCTACATATACATTGAAAATAGAAAACTATCTACCAATATAGGAACATTACCATTTTGAAAGGGTGTCATCTCAACATGCAATGCTTGAAGTTTTGATAAACAAAATACACTTGATGGAACTACTTCTTCTTGATAGATGTAAATCTTTTTGACGAAAGTATTATTTTCATCCATAGTAGCCGTACTTTGATCGAATACTAGTTCGATTGGATTAACTAAGATTGGAAAAGGAAATTGTCGAAGAACATCATAATCATTGTTCACTTGGCTGCAATCCAATTGAGATGCATTCTTCTTTGCCAAAGAATCTATAAGACATACGATAACTTTTCATTAATGAACAAGCAACATGTAAATATACTTTTATATCCACCAGTAATATGCGATTTTATTGATCTTTTCGACGCTACAACAGTAAAACTACCCACTGAACATAACCAAGATACAATAAGAAGTATGAGAACAACGTTGTTATAAAGCATTACAAATGCTTTTTTTAAGAATGTTTTAACTCATTTATCTATTAGCTTCTTTATATATCTATTGAAAAATTGATTTAAGAAGCTCTCATTACAAAAAAAACACATTTACGTCTCGGAATGATGTATTAAAAAACTATTTGCATAGTATTTTCGTCTGCGTCAAACTAATTATCAGCTTAGTCATAGGCTGATGTTATACATTGAGCATTAAAAAGTGCATTATATAGTAAAGAAAAATACCTATTTCGCGAAACGTTTAGTGTGTCAAAAAATTCGTCGAATTACGTATTCAATAAAAGTTGGCTTATTTTTAAAGGATATGGTTTGAGTTATCTTATGTTATAGACATTAATAAAGGGAAAATGCGCATGTATGACTTTTCATTTTTCAATATCAGTTTCATGCATTCTAAAACTTTTATCAATCATTAACTGATCAAGCAAAGTAAAACTGCACTAATGTTACAGCTGAAATTTTAACTCGATTTAAGGATTACGTATACATGACTTTTTTAATCGAATTGATAGTATCAGTTTTCTCTATTGCTGATATACATCAAGGGCGACTATAAGTTGCGTAGTAATTTTTAACTAGATAACAATATACGTATAGATTCATAGAAGAAGTCTTCCTTTACAAATCTACACATATTCCATTTTGAGATCAAAACCTTACAGTCGTTCTTCTCTTTCTCTCCCTGTCACTGAACAGGTCTTTTCATTTCGCTGAGTAAAACTATCATTTTAAATACACAATGATAAATGTTCGAATATTAAAGTCTATTTCTTTCACATATTTTACATGTTATAATCATAATGAGGATTAAGAGTCTGAATTGACCAAACTTTTAGAAACAAATCAATCGATACTAAGAAAAAAACACAAACTCAATATTATATGCTTTAGTGCAAGAACAAATCAAGGAGTAACTTTAGTTCGATAGCCGCTATAAATCATTATCAAAATTGTGAATAACTATCGATTGCAATTTCAAAAGAACAGACACAATTAAGTACTTTTCGGCGAATATATTGAAAAATATAGATTGAAACATGATACAAATGAGTAGCATACATGAATATAGACACTA